ATGGTCATGGCCACGGTCATGGCCATGGTCATGGTCATGCCATGGTCAAGACATGGGATTGGCATGGTTGCAGTCACGGTCATGCCATGGCTATGGTCAAGACATGGGATAGACACGATCATATCCATGGCCATGCCACGAGCTGAGCCCGTGATGGCCATGATCATGCCATGGCCGTGCCATGTGCCGTGTTGGTGGGGTGCCATGCATGGGGCACTGGTGGGGGCTGCCTGTGGAGGGTGAGGTCATCGCTGACCTCATGCCACCCCCCGCCCAGGTTTCCCCTCGAAGCTCTGCAGCCGCCCCGAGCTGGTGAAGTTCGTCACCATGATCATCTTCTGCTGCTCCGCCCGGCACGCTGCCGTCAACAGCGGCCAGGTGACACCTGGGGGGACACGACACGGGGGAACTTGGAGGGTCGCCAAAAGCCCATGTACATCTCAGAAGTGGCCATGGAGCCTCCTTGGTGGCCACAGGGGACTTGGGTGACCCCGGTGAGACCCAGGTGACCCTGGAGGAGATTGGGGGGGGGGCCCAGATGCTTGGGTTCCCCCCACTGACCCCCCCCCGCTTCCCAGTACGACTATGCCGCCTGGATGCCCAACACGCCGGGAACGCTGGGGCGACCACCGCCACGGAGGAAGGAGGAGGCCACCGCCGAGCTGCTGCTGAGGACCCTCCTGTCCCCCGACGCCACCGGCGCCCTCCTGGCCCTGCTCAGCGTCGTCAGCTACGAGGGCGGAGAGCCGGTAAGAAGGGGGGGGACACCCAGTAATCCGGGTGGGCAACCCCCCCACCTTCCCCTTACCCCCCTCTTTGGGGACCCTGATGTCCAGGTGGGATGTCCCCCATGTCCCCAAGAGGACCCAGGCATCCCGGTGGGGACTGTGGTGTGTGTGTGTCCCCCCTCCATGTCCCCAAGAGGACCCAGGTGTCTGCCCCCCCCCCACCTCTAACACCTCCTCTGACCCCCAGCGGCCGCTGGGCTCCCGCTCCGAGGAGCTCCTCAGTGGGGCGGCCCCACGGCGGCTCTTGGCCTCCTTCCGGCGCCGCTTGGCCGCCATCTCCCACCGCATCCGGCAGCGCAACGAGGGGCTGGCGTTGCCCTACCCCTACCTCGACCCCGCCTGCGTCCAGGAGAGCGTCGCCATCTGCCCCCCCCCTCCACAATGTCACCAACCCCCCCACCATGGGATGTCCCCAACCCTCCAGGATGTCCCCAAACTCCTTGGACCATCCCTACCCTTCTCCCCACCTCGATGTCCCCAACCTCCAAGTGTGTCCCCAACACCCCCCCCGGTGCGTCCCCAACCTCCCCAAGATGTCCCCAACCTCCCCAGATGTCCTCAACCCTCCCTGGACCATCCCCAAGCTCCCTGAGGTGTCCCCAACCTCCTCATCCTCCCCCACCCTCCCCATTGTCCCAGTCTGACCCAGCCCTGCCTCAGTTCCCCCAACCCGAATGTCCCCTGTGTCCCCTGTCCCTGCACCATGGTGGGGGGGGAGGACATGGGGAATAAATGTGGCTCCTCTCCCACCCCTGCATGGCTTGGGACTGAGTTTGGGGACAAAGGACAGCCTGACCACAGGGACACCATGGCCATGGGGACACGATGACCATGGGGATGTGGGACACCATGGCCATGGGGACGTGGGACACCATGACACATGGGGACACCATGGCCATGGGGACACAATGATCAATGGGGACATGGGACACCATGACAAGGGGGACACCATGGCCATGGGGATGTGGGACACCACAGCCATGAGGACACCATGACCCATGGGGACGAGGGACACCATGGCCATGGGGACGTGGGACACCATGACACATGGGGACACCATGGCCATGGGACACAACCATCAATGGGGACGTGGGACACAATGACTGTGGAGACGAGGGACACCATGGCCATGGGGACACCATGGCCCATGGGGATGAGGGACACCATGGCCACAAGGACACCATGGCCCATGGGGATGAGGGACACCACGGCCATGGGGACATGGGCCACCATGGCCGTGGGGATGTGGGCCACCATGACATGTGTGGACATGGTGGCCATGGGGACATGGGACACCATGACATGCGTGGACACCCTGACTGTGGGGACGAGGGACACCATGGCCACAAGGACACCATGGCCATGGGGACGTGGGACACCATGACACATGGGGACACCATGGCCATG